CTCCTGCCCTGGAACTAGCTCTTATAGACCAGGCTGGCCTTTTGAACTCACAGAGATCCGCCTGCCTCTACCTCCCAAGTGCCGGGATTAAAGGCGTGCGCCACCACCGCCTGGCCCCATCACTTTTTTTTTTTTTTTTTGTTCCAGAGATAGTTTCCCTAATTGCACCTCCCTGGATTTGGGGCAAGTAAGGTACCCATCCCAGAGCATTGGCCAGGAGGAATACCAAATTGGAAAGATGGAGCTGGCAGGTCCCACAGATCCTTGTTTGTGAGGCAGCTACTTTTGAGTGTGTTTGAATACAGCTGGAATAGAGGCTGTGCAAGATCCTGAGCCAAACCAGACAAGGCCTGGATCTTCCTCAGGAGCAGGCCAGTTTTACCTATGGTGTGGACCTCTGTTCTCCTGGGCAGGTAGAGGGTCCCAAGATGAGTATTCTGCAGAGACCTGGGGACATCTGTAGGCTGCAGGTGTAGACTAGGATTCGGAACTGGGAGATTTCTCTCTTTTTTGTTGTTTTTGTTTTGCTTGGTTTGGTTTGGTTTGGTTTTGTAGACAGGGTTTCTCTGTAGCTTTGGAACTCACCAGGCTGGCCTTGAACTCACAGAGATCCACCCGCCTCTGCCTCTAGAGTGCTGGGATTAAAGGCGTGTGCCACCACCGCCTAGCTTGAACTAGGAGCTGTCTATAGCCAGAGGGTAGGCTCATTGCATTTCTGAGACACAGTGATCCCACCTCAGAGCATAGAACCCAGATCCTGTTGTATGAGGTTCAGCCTTATTCACAGTAGCCAAGACTTGTGGGGACAAGACACACGTCCAAGGATGGATGAGCGGACCAGAAACAGGACCCAGGTAGGAGTGGTGACTCAAGGTTGTAAAATCAGGTCTTCTGATCCACTTAGGAAGAGGGAAGACTGAAGGCTGTTCTGTGCTGTAGCAAATACATTGACTCAAGACCAACCAGTCAGCTGGGCAGTGGTGGCACACTCCGGAGGTAGAGGTAGGTGGATCTTTGTGAGTTCAAGGCCAGCCTGGTCTACAAAGTGAGTACCAGGCCAGCCAGGGCTCTAAGGAGATTTTATCTCAGATAAATAAATAGAGGCTCAGTGGGCTGGAATGTGGCTCAGGTGGCAGCACACAGGAATTCCAGGTTCAATTCCCATTGCTGCATAAATCAGGTGTGTTTGAAAGATGGATCATCCTTGAAATCCCAGCACTCTAAGGCCAGCACTGGAGACATGAAGTCACCCCGGGTGGGTGTGGTGGCACAGGCCTTTAATCCCAGGAGGAGGCAGAGGTAAGTAAATCTCTGAGAGTTCAAAGCCAGCCTGATCTACAAAGTGAGTTCCAAGACAACCAGGGCTGTTACACAGAGAAACCCTGTCTCAAAAAACAGAGAGAGAGAGAGAGAGAGAGAGAGAGAGAGAGAGAGAGAGAGAGAGAGAGAGAGGTGTGAAGGCAGGAGAAACATGTTCGATGTTCAGCGTCACTCTTGACTATATTAGAAAGTGTAGAGAAACATAGACCCTGTCTCAGAAAGCACATACACCAGGGTGGTGGTGGTGTTTGGAGACAAGGTCTCACTATGTAGGCCTGGCTAGCCTGAATATGAGGACCAGTTAAGCCTTGAACGTGCAGAGAACTCAGGGACACCTGGAAACTTTTGTGTCTGATAATGGTCGTATTGGCTACTGGTACGCCTTTCTGGTATCACTCAGTTTAACTGTGCCTGGCCTCCATAGCCCTAAAGCTGTGACTGTGACCGATTTCATCCAAACTTAAGTGCTGGTATTACAGGCATGCTCCCCCAAGCCTGCCCTAACTACTTTTCTTTTGATATAGGGTCTCAATAGGTTGTCTAGGTGGTTTTTAACTTTACCATGTAGCCCAGGCTAGCCTAGGGATCCTCCTACCTCAGTCTCCCAAGTATCTGGGCTTATAGGTGTGTGCCACTATGATACACAGACTTGTGTGTTTGAATGTTTCCCTCTTTAAATATTTTTGAGATAGTATCTCACTCTGAAGCCAGGTAGTCTTCAAATTTAAAACAATTCCCCTGCCTCAGACTCCAAAATGGTAGAATGAATGGGATCAACTTTCATGTCTGGTTTTGGATAGTGTTTGTTTGGGATTTTGCTTTTGTGTTTTTGGTTTGGTTGAATCAGTGTCTCATGTAGTCCAGGCTAGCCAGGAACTTGCTATGTAGCCTAGGATGACTTTGAACTCCTAATCTACAGGTTCCACCTCCCAAATGCTTGAATTCAGGTAGATGCCACAGCACCCCATCTGTTTTGTTTTTAATACAGGGTCTCATGTAGCCCAGGCTGACCTCAAATTCACTGTAGATCTGGGGTTGCTTCTGAACTCCTCATCTTCTGCCTCCATCTCTGGAGTCACAGTTAATCTGCCAGGATTATAGGCAGATGCTGCCACAGTCAGCCTCAGGTGGGTTCGTTTGATTTGATTTTGAGTTTCTGATAGTTTGAAGCTGGGCCACTTGTAGCCCAGGCTGGCCTTGAACTCAATATGTGGTCAAGGAGTGCTAGGATCATACACCACCTTGCCCAGTGCTGGGGATCAAACCGAGGTTCGTGCATACTAGGCACACGCTTGGACAGCTGAACTACACCCCAGCCCACTGAAGACATGATGAACAATTTTGCAGAACAGCCCTGCAACTCCACATGCACACCAGCAATGCTCAGATGACCCAGTTTTTGCTGCATCTAAAATCAAGTCCACAGCCTCGGTGTTAATTGGACTGATCTCATTTGGCCACTCCCTCTGTGATTTACAGTAATATTTTATCTTTTTAAGGGTGACAAATCTATTTTGATTCTATGTATTCTCTAAGCAAAGGCGCAGGGATGGTTCCTGACTGCTTCTGTCTCGCCGGGTCTCTCCAGAGCAGCTCACTAAGAGCTTGGTGACAGTCCCCGACACTCAGGGAGCACATGGCAGGGGCTGGGGATAGATGTGGACCTCCCAAAAGGTTCAGAGTACACAGTACTCCTCCTCCAGGTAGGTACCCCAGGCACTCTCTACATTTCTTTCATGGCAGCCTCCCCCCAGGAACAGGCACAAGCCGTGTGACCAGCCTGCCTCCTACTGAAGAAAGGTTTTTTTTTCTGTTTTTTTTTATTATTATTTTATTTTTACTTAAAAATTTTCACCTCCAGGCCT